AGGGGGCTTTGATCCACTGAATTTGTTTGTTTTAAAGCAAACCCACTGTGAGCTATTTGTTTTGTCCACCGCGAAGAATCCGTAAACTTACCGATGGCTCCACTGAGAATTTTAATAAGCAATAACGTGAAGCAATTTCGTAAAGAAAGCTTTTCAATGGCTGACCTTCTGTTATTTTGTTCGAAGTTTTATTGTTAATATTATGTAGATAAAAAACTGATATAACAAATCTCTACTAACAAAAACATAATCAAACACAACTAAAAGACATTTAAAAACATAAAAAATTCAGGAACTTACTTTAATGATCTTTCTGACACATGAGGAATCAGGAATCAAGAAAATTTTGTGCCTCAAAGAAAAGTTTAAAACTATATTTTAACCAAACAAATAATATTTTCTGTGATTTTTTCTACTGAATTGTAAAATACATAAAGGTACTATTGATATGGTGCAGTAATTCCTCTATAGATACTGTCTTCTATAGGTAATATTGACAAGGTTCAGTAATTCCTCTGTAGCTATTCTCTCCTAAAATAATATTGACAAGGTGCACAAATTCCGCTATAGATACTGTCTTCTATAGGTAATATTGACAAGGTGCAGTAATTCCTTTGTAGGTATTCTCTACTAAGGTAATATTGACAAGGTTCAGTAATTCCTCTATAGATACTTTCTTCTATAGGTAATATTGACAAGGGGCAGTAATTCCTCTATAGATACTCTCTTGTATAGGTAATATTGACAAGGTAAAATAATTCCTATATAAATACTCTCTTCTATATGTAATATTGACAAGGTGCAGTAATTCCTCTATAGATACTCTCTTCTATAGGTAATATTGACAAGACACAATAATTCCTCTGTAGATATTCTCTTCTAAGGCAATATTGACAAGGTGCAGTAATTCCTATGTAGGTATTCTCTTCTATAGGTAATATTGAAGAGGTGCAGTAATTCTTGTATAGATACTCTCTTCTATAGGTAATATAGACAAGGTACAATAATTCCTCTGTAGGTATTCTCTTCTAAAGTTATATTGACAAGGTGCAGTAATTCTTCTCTGGATATTCTTTTCTAAGGTAATACTGACAAGGTGCAGTAATTCCTCTGTAGGTATTCTCTTCTATAGATAATATTGACAAGGTGCAGTAATTCCTCTGTAGGTATTCTCTTCTATAGATAATATTGACAAGGTGGAGTAATTACCTTATAGATACTCTCTTCTATAGGTAATATTGGCAAGGTGCAGTAATTCCGCTGTAGGTATTTTCTTCTATAGGTAATGCTGACAAGGTGCAGTAATTCCTCTGTAGAGACTCTTTTCTACAGTTAATATTGACAATGTGCAGTAATTCCACTGTAGGTATTTTCTTCTATGGTAATACTGACAAGGTTCAGAAATTCCTCTATAGATACTCTCTTCTATAAGTAATATTGACCAGGTGCAGTAATTTCTCTCTTCGTATTCTATTCTATAGGTAATGTTGACATGATGCAGTAATTTCTCTGGAGGTATTCTCTTCTAAGGTAATACTGACAAGGTGCAGTATTTCCTTTGTAAGTTTGTCTTCTATAGGTAATATTGACAAGGTGCAATAATTCCTCTATATGTAATCTCTTCTAAGGTAATATTGACAAAGTGAAGAAATTCCTCTATAGATACTCTGTTCTAAAGGTAATATTGACAAGCGGCAGTAATATCTCTGTAGGTATTTTCTTTTAAGGTAATATAGATAAGGGATAGTAATTCCTCTGTAGGTATTCTCTCCCTAGGTAATACTGACAAAGTGCAGAAATTCATCTATAGATACTCTCTTTTGTAGGTAATATTGACAAGGTGCAGTAATTCCTCTCTAGGTATTCTCTTCTAAGGTAATACTGAGAAGGTGCAGTAATTCCTCTGTAGGTATTGTCTATTAAGGTAACACTGACAATGTGCAGAAATTCCTCTATAGATTCCTCTTTTATAGGTAATATTGACAAGGGGCAGTAAATCCTCTGTAGGTATTCTCTTCCAGGATAATATAGAGAAGGGGCAGTAATTCCTCTATGGGTATTCTCTTCTCTAAGTAATATTGATAAGATACAGTAATTCCTATGTAAGTATTCTCTTCTAAGGTAGTATTGACAAGGTGCAGTAATTCCTGTGTAGGTATTCTCTTCTATAGATAATAGTGAAAGGTGAAGTAATTAACCTATAGATACTCTCTTCTATAAGTAATATTCACAAGGTGCAGTAATTTCTCTGTAGGTATTCTCTTTTAAGGTAATATTGACAAGGGGCAATAAATCCTCTTTGATACTCGCTTCTATAGGTAATATTGACAAGGTACCATAATTCCTCTGTATGTATTCTCTTCTATAAGCAATATTGACAAGGTGCAGTAATTCATCTGTAGGTATTCTCTTCTAGGATAATATTGACAAGGAGCAGTAATTCCTCTGTAGATACTTTCTTGTATAGGTAATATTGACACGGTGCAGTTATTCCTCTGTAGGTATTCTTTTCTAAGGTAATGTTGACAAGGGGCAGTAACTCCTCTGTAGGTATTTTGTTCTATAAGTAATAATGACAAAGTGCAGTAATTCCTCTGTAGGTTTTCTCTTCTATAAGTAATATTGACAAGGTGCAGTAATTCTTCTGTAGGTATTCTATTCTAAGATATTATTGACAAGGGGCAGTAACTCCTCTGTTGGTATTCTCTTTTAAGGTAATATTGACAAGGTGAAGTAATTTTTGTGTAGGTATTCTCTTCTATAAGTAATAATGACAAGGTGCAGTAATTCCTATATAGATACTCTCTTCTATAGGTAATATAGACAAGGTACAGTAATTCCTCTGTAGGTATTCTCTTCTAAAGTTATATTGACAAAGTGCAGTAATTCTTCTCTGGATATGCTTTTCTAAGGTAATACTGACAAGGTACAGTAATTCCTCTGTAGGTATTCTCTTCTATAGATAATATTGACAAGGTGGAGTAATTACCTTATAGATATTCTCTTCTATAGGTAATATTGGCAAGGTGCAGTAATTCCGCTGTAGGTATTCTCTTCTAAGGTAATAATGACAAAGTGCACTTATTCCTCTGTACATACACACTTTATAGGTAATTTTGACAAGGTGCACTAAATTCTCTATAGATACACTCTTCTATATGCAATGTTAATAAGGAGCATTAATTGCTCTGTTGATAGATTATTGTATTGGCAATGTTGACAATGTGCACTATGTCTTTGTATAATTAACGTTGTATAGTACTAGGCACCACTCGACACTCTGTTTTATATAACAATAGTATTGAGAACACTCGCATTTGTTATTTAACGAGAAACATATTATTTGTTCTTATGATGGTTCATGGATAAACCTTGCACGCTTTCACTTGATCTCTTCAACAAATAGAGATTCGAGGACAAATGTAAGTAAATACGTGGAGATTTTTTTCAGGTGGGATAAGAGAAAAAAAACAAAACAAGAACACACACACACACACTGATTGTTGAAATGACGGATGTGTGGCGTTGTGTGAAAACTGAAACATAAAGAAGATAAACGATACTTAAATGAACAAAAAGAATGAAAGAAAAGTAAAACATAATGTTGAATTGTTCGGCGGTTTGGCTATAAAGAACACGACCAGCAGATGCAATGAAGACACTGTACACGATGATGAAGCTTCATAAGCATTTCAAATCAGAAACTAATCTGTCTGAAAGAAGTCCTCTATATACGAGTTAAATTACCGTACAATATAGATGTGAAATATTCATACCAGGAGAAAGCAAGATTTGTCGTATTTGCATCCCATACTCTGGCATTCTTCTTCAAGTCACATTTTAAAGGGCTGAATAAAGAATATAATGACTAAAATATAATAGGCCTAAAACGAATATGTTTAAACAAGTATAATTAATTAGAATTATGCTTCGCCAGCTTAGAAAAGATGTTCAAACCATCAGAAATATAGTTGCGAAAAATGGCACGCATAATTAGTGTTCCAACCACTACTATGTTTGTTGTGTCCCGTAGTGCTGATGAGCTTTGCAATGAGTCGGCAAAGGAACATAATGTGGGAGAAGCACTATGAAAAGGCTCTAAGGGACTGAATAAAGAAGGTAGTATGAAAAATATACTAAACTTAATACTAATGTCTTATGACAAGTATAATCCAGTAATGTTGAGTTTTAATACTTGCACTCGATACTCAGGTTTGGAAAGTGACGCTAGATCTGGTGTCTCTTACTGAATAAGTCGATCGGTTTGTCATTTTTGATCAGATCATTTGGCTCAAGTGTCTTTTATACTAGAGGTGTTTGATGAGTATAACGTGTTACGAAACCCACTTATGTTTAACCTCGCAGTCATTAAGACGCCCTGCATGGCCATCATGTTTGTTCAGAACGCTGTTTTTTTTAATTTATGCACAAAGCTACACAATGGGCTATCTGTGCTCTGCCCACCACGGGTATCTAAACCCGGTTTTTAGCATTGTAAGTCCGCAGACATACCGCTGTGCCACTGGGGGGCAGAACAATGTATACATAACTTCATACGTGAGGAGTCTAGGCAGGTCACTTAATTTAGTTACTTTAAATACACAGCATTAACTTTATATTTTATAAACTTTGAGCATTCAAGTACTAAAGCCCCCAGTGGCACAGCGGTATGTATGCGGACTTACAACGCTAGAATCCGGGTTTCGATACCCGTGGTGGGCAGAGCACAGATAGCCCATTGTGTAGTTTTGTGCTTAACTACAAATAAACAAACAAACAAACAATAAACAAGTACTAAATGCTACAACCAAAAAATGTTTGGTATGCACATCACGAGTTTCTGTCTAATTAAATATACCCAATCAAATTACAAATAACCAGAACAGAAAGCTCGTTTTTTTATCTATTAACTACTAAACGTTATGTTACTTTCTAGATAAAATACATAAGATGAGCATTCTATACACATGTGGATAAAGTTGACTATCAGTTCTGCAAAATATAAATAGGATTACAAAAAAGAAAAAGAAAAGAAAGTCAAATACTGCATGACTATAAATTGATACTGTTAAAAATTACTTAAACCATATTGAAAATATTATTTATCATAATTATTGGGACATTATAGCTTATCAGTCGGATTAATCTATTCGTAATTATGTTTTTTTCTTGTTTCGTGACTTACTTCGTCAGTGTCAAATCCTTCCCTGAGGTTAAAGGTCAAGTCGAGGAGGATATCGTGGGTGAAACTCTCAGCAAACTCTGGATAAAGTTTCAGAACCTCTCTCAGACCTGGAATGTAGATACTCTTCAAATCGCAATAGGTCAAGGCTTTCACATCGCTGGTTGACTTTAGGATAACCTCGCTCAGTTCCACCATTATGTCACATCCAACTAGGTCACCTTTTCCTAGAAACAATAATAGACTTGTTATAAGTACTTTGTACAACGTTTCGACAAGGTTTTGTCATCATCACAATTTGTTCAGAGATATTACATTTATGATATGCACAATGTTTAATAAACGAATTTTACAGTTATTGTTTTTCCATAGTATATGCAGTAGTTTCACTTGTTCAAAGTGACTTACCAGGAAATGCTAGTGGGTTCACCTTTTAGCTAATTTAGTAAAACACTCGCTTGTAGTGCGAGAGGTTCCGGGTTAAAATCCTGCATGCGGTTGACGCAAAAAGTTAAAATATCCACACACACATTATTCACTTTTTCAGTAAAACTGACTAACGTTAAAAATGTTTCAATTTTCTGCGAAAAGAAGTTTCACGACTTCTTAACTAAACACTATGCTCAAGAAGTAATAATAAAAACTTGAGTTTCTTCAAGTTGTAAAATTGTGTGAAAGAGTAAGCGTATTAAATAATGATTATATTTTCCATTACACAAGGTTGCTTTGAACTGAAGAATGTGTAAAATAATCTAAACCTAAAAGTTTCCATTGAAATATGCTTATAAATGTCTATTTAAAATTTTGATCTACAGTAGCTTGCATGCAATTTAAACTTGAAACAAGGTTATTAAAAGTTTTATTATGAACTATGGCTTTTTATGCTAATCCGTATCATTACCTACTGTGTAATTTTACAAGATGCCAAGTCCAAAAAGTTTTCAGTGGACTGAGGTTCTAGAACAAAATTAATGTAGACAAAATAGGCTTGACCATCCTTGTTTCCTAGCATACCTAAAATGGCTACCACCATGCCGTTCTGTAGCACTTCCATGGAACCATTACACACGAGGTAGAGGTAGCTAAGTGCGTCTCCTGTGTGCACCAAGTATTCTCCAGGTGCACAGAAGTTACTCTTGATGTGGTGTGCTAACTGTTTTAAACATCCCTGCGGCGCAGGCTCGAATATTGGTAGTGACAACATTTCCTTGTTCAGGTGCATGGAAACATCACCTCGTAGTTCATCAGGAAACTCCCGGAGAATCTGCACGAAACAACAGTTTTACACCTATAGTGTAACAGGTCCAGTATGGAATGACAGAACAAAAAAAATATATATATATCTAAGAGACAAACTAACGAGTTTATAAGACTTAGTTTCAAATAAACGGCCAATTTAAACCCAAACGAGTTTTCAAAGCAGAAGAACACAACAATTTACGTGGAAGTAACACAAAGGAAAATGTTTTACTATTATTTAAGAGAAAGGTAATTAATCTATAGGTTTAAAAGTAAGATTTTTATACTATAAAGATTATGATTTTGCTGTCAGTGACTGCATGGTCACCGATAAGTTTAAAAGTAGAATTTTTATTCCATGAAGGTTATCTGTTTACTGTCAGTGACTAATCTCCGACA